TAAGCATAAAATAACTTTTTTTTTGAAATTTACATTTTTATTTCCCATATTGTATAAACATGGAGCAAGTATTTTCTTTGTTCAGCATAATCTACTAGCAATCAGTATAAACAGTCTAAACCGTGCCAAAGACCACCCCAACAAAAGACCCCTCTTCATAACAAATGCCACCCTTAGAATACCCTGCATACTTTAATAGAATAGAGAATCCTCTTGATAAGGAGCATGTGTCTTGACAGGTTATGTTTCTCCTTTGTGCAGCCTTAATCACAGGCTGGAACAAAGTATATCGTCAGTACAAATCCAGTTCAAGGCTGTTTAATTAATAAGGATATAGCTTCCAAAACAAGTGAACTAAAATAAATTCGTATAAACCTAAAAGCCATAGGTACAAGTCCTTGAAAAGGCTTAACAAAACTTGACCTTAAATGGCTACTTTTTGTAATTTCAAAAAAAAAATCTCACTAAACATGACCCTGACACATATATGACCTTGACCTTGAAAGTGACATACAATTTACAAGATTTGATCATTTCTGTTCACCGCCTGCCCATGGCCAATCAAAACAGAGAGTTTTTATATCAAATGATAACCAAATGGACAAAAGTCTTCATAAACTTAAAGTGGTGTCTACGGGGCACGCCATCTACCATGTTTTTGTCAACTTAACTATATATAGAACGAAAATTCTATGTGTGTAGGCTCCTATAGATAAAAAAAATATATGAAATATTCTCTTAAAATGAGAAACATTAGATCTATTGTTCAGGAACAAGTCTATTTCGACTTTTAAAGGTCAATGACTATATATACAGCTATGGTAGAACAAAAAATGAATTCAGCGAACTCGAAAAGGGCAAGTAAGCACAACTACCTGCTTGCTCTAAAAATGCCATTATTAGTAGGAACAATTTCCCAAAATCAAACCAATCTATTTTAGAAAAAAACTAAGATTATACGGAATTAAGCTGATAGAACATATGATGTTAGCCCGTAAGACAATTATATTTTATTATCCCATTTCCGATTTTCTTTTCGGCAGGGGGTTGAGTAAAAGTAAATATATAATTCAAATATTAGATCCTGTATGTTTTGTGATTGATATTGTTCCTGTGTGTACATCACTCTTGCAAAAAATTATATATGTATATAATTATGCAAATGAAACAATTTTCAAACATCGAAGAATATGTAAAATGTGTACTGCAAATATTTGTGCACATTATATTTAAGCAATACATTATATGCATTCATTTCTTATTGGAAAATTTGACATAGAATTTATAGAAAATAAATTTCTAATTACCTTCCTTTATTTACATGAAATGTTAAATTCGGTTATAACTTTATAAATAATGCTTATTTGACAAATTTTAATTTGAGCATCATATTTATGAAATAAAACCATGAAAAAAATGTGACAGGATCTAAAAAAGTAAATAAACATTAAATGGTAAAGACTTACATAGTGTATCTGAGATATCTTTTAAGCATTATAAAGTCACGGAATTCAGCTCATAAACTACTCTCCTGCGCATCGGTCGAATGTTCAACTATCGCTCACTTTCTTACTGTAACGTGAGTGTATTCAGTGAGCTGCGAAGGGAGCGTACTCATAAACCATCGGGGACACGTGTATTTATGTAACCCCTACCGATTTTTATCGACGATGCATTAAGTAAAAGTGCAATAATTAATTAAAAAATGTTTTTTAGTTAAACAGTGAAAGAACCATTGAATAGTACAGACTTACTTAGTGTATCAAAGATATTCTTCAAGCATTCCCAGGTCACTTCCGCATCAATGTTTATTTGTTTGCCCTTCAGTTTTGGAATTGTATTTAGAGAAACGGCAAGCTCTTTAAGGATACTCCTAAATGCATCGCTGTGCAAGTAAACTAGGATACTGTGTAAACCGGCATATGTTCTACATTCAAATTTTAACATTATGCACTTATGCACTGCTTGAAGGACTTCTACTTCTGGCAAGTCTTCAATATCTTCAAGCATCTTTTCAACAACTTTTTGAATCTTTGGATAATCGTCTTTATCTCCGCCAGCTTTCTTTATTGCTTTATTGATAATTGTTGTGACTATACGCTCAGCAAAACCTATGTAGTCTTTGTCATTTACAGCTCCACTCAAAGTTAACTCTGTATCTATCACTAAAACAAGTAAGTATCAATATTAAAGATTCAATATTAACATGATGTAAAACACATTAATTTTGCAAATGCATTTACATCAACAACGTCGGGCAGGCAACTTTCGACTTTTTTTACTTCTAAAGGAGGAGACATCAGAGGACATGGAGACATTGTAGAAGAGTGTTTGAAAATATATATACAGAATTGAATTCATATTTGATCTTGACAGTAAAAGACATTTACAGATCAATGTCAAACTTGAATGTCATTGTTCATGGCCATTGAAGTATGAAACAAACATGTCCATAAAAATAAATGATTTGACTTTGATGGTCAAAGTCAAAGAAAAGAAAAAATATGTTTTAGTATTTTTTTTATGATTTTGGTCTGGTCACATGTATGGTTTTGTCCAAAAACGAATGATATCGCTAAATAAATTACAAAGTTATAGTCAATTGTAACGAAATTTAATAATTCGACCTTGAATTTTGAGGTCAAATATAGGTTAAGTTCAAGTTTCATCAAAGCATCTTGAAAGTCTTGTCCTTTTAAATTTATAAGTTATCACCAAATCTTACAAAAAATCTGTGAAAACAAAATAATTCAACCTTCAGGATCAAGGTCATTTCAAATTCAACGTCAAATTCAGTTTAGTTTTTTAAAGGACTTGCTCTTAAAGTTGTTGTGACAAAAAATGAAGACAATCTATTGATTATTAATAACTTTATAGCCAGTCATAGTAAAAATCTAACGAAGTTCAAACAATTGACCTTCAAAGTCAAGGTCATGTATATATCTAAGCTCTGCTGGAACCAACCAGTTCTAAGCAATGAGTAAAGTTTTCTCAAAGAAACAACGGATTGACCCTGACGGGATTAAATCCACACGACCAGAAACCCTTAGATACATGTCAGACGCGTTAACCAATCGGCCATGACGTTTATACCAAGTATGAGGACAATCCATTCATTCATAAAAAAGTAATAGCCAATTGTCAATAATTTGACCTTTAAAGTCAAGGCCATATAAGAGTCAGGGTCAAGTTAAGATTTTAGGTTTTCTTCAAGTACCAAAAAATTATGTATGCAAAATTAAACAAAATTCATCCATTTGTACTTGAAGGGCAGGGTCATTTTTGAGTGAAGGTCAATTTCAATCTGGTGCACTTTCAGGTCTTGTCCAAAGGTGTTTGTGTCCAAGTATAAAGGTAATCCGTGAAGAAATACAAACTATTTGGCCATTTTTAAATATCTTACACCGGTTACCGATTCTTTTGATATCCGAAAATAAATTACAAAAAACTGATATTTCTATTTAACACTTTTTTTCTTACAGTAGCGTATGCATTTACAACTTCATTCTTAACGCCAGAATGACGTTTGTGAAGAACACAATTTATTTATAAAAGGCGCGTTGGAATGACGTCTGTTTAAGCACGGGACTTTTTTAACGTGGGATTGTACTACTGGTTTTTCTAGCATCGGTGTAAACAGTATATAATTGTATCTCATATACACGACATTAACATTTGTGACGAAAAATGCATCGGCAACAGAAACGGCAACGTCAATGATAAAGCAAAAGCTCGAATTTTTTCATCGAAAAGGTGGAGCTAAAAATGATCTCACAGAATACAAATGTATTCCTAAAATATCTTGATATCTATAAATGATTAGAAAAAGGTCACATTGGCTGAGTCAGCAATAAAGAATCGAAGGTTTAGATATTCACTACTCATTTCGCAACTAATTTATAATTTCCCTAATGACTGAATTTAAAATAGAATCAAGACCGATATGACGATAAAGATAGATATTGATTATTCAGAAATATAAATATCTATAAGGGTTCGATAAATATTCGAATTTGAAAAACATAATGAATTATGAGAACTCAAATATGTTTACCATTAAAATATTAAGCCATACAAACACATAATTACATTAATTTTGTTTTAATTTCTATTCTAAAATCCGAAAGTTTGCCAACCGTCGCACGTCAAAATTTCAACAATTTTGTTGACAAAATGATAAATTTGATGTTCACGAAAATAGAATATGACAAGGTTTTGCGTGCCTCTTTAAAGCTCATCAAATGAAACAATCAAAATTATTTAAACGTACCAGGAAATGACAATGTGACCAATATATAGGGTTTGCAAAGGCCCGAGCATTTATCAAAAGAGCAAGTGAGTTTTTCAGGCGATTTCAAAGCGGCAATATCAAAGCGGCATCGTGATTTCAGTTTTCAGGATCTACTAGAAAGAGACAGACGGGCGAAAGTGTGTTGCGTATCGGACAGATTAGGGATCTGTAAAGGTTCTGCACACATAATATTGACATACATTCTTTGAACACAGGGTGCCCATGCTATTTATCAAGGACAATAGGAATGATATCAATGTATACATGTCGAGTGAGACTTCCATCGTTTCCTCATTATGCATAATAACAAATGATTTGCTTAGTTTTTTGTAAACCCATTTATATTTAAATGTTTTAAATTTTGCAGAATTGTTATGCGACATTTTAGGACAAATATTACTATTTTAAGTGTTTAATTTCAAATTTTAAATTTTTTTAATGAATTTTTATATCATTATATTGTCGAACCTTTGATTTTCTTTATACAACTATCCACCTTCCAATCCATAGAGTCAAGTTTAGCCAATATAGCTGTAAATATAATGACACATGAAAAATATATAATTTCTTTATTTTAAAGGGACACTGTTCTATTTAAATTACAAAATACTCTAACTGATATACATATTTCTAATTTGAAAGCACTTTCATACTAACAAAAATAGTCCAATTAATATCTATTAAAATTATCTTTATAAATATTAGAGTTTTAGTCGTCGAACTTAAAATTTAAAAAAAAAGTCAGGAAAGAGCAGAAAGAAAAAATGCTACCATCTTTCATTTCAAGCAGTTTTTTGTCATGTTCATTCATCTTGTAAAGCACTATCTGGAAAAGGTCCTCTTGGTTCTCTAAATGTTTCTTTAGGTCTTCACGACTGATAGGATCGTTAGTGCATTTATTTATAATGTCATCACATTCACTTATCTTGTCATTTCCTATCGAACTTGACAAAGACATATATGCTTTCTCTAACTCCCCGCGTATATCATCATACTCATCGTTGCTTAGTGATGAGGAGTGACTATGAGCAAAAACTTCATCTCTTATGCGCTTTATTGTATTTAAATGATCTTTTTGGTCATCATCTAGAGAGTTTTTGAAGACTGTTAGCAGGACAGTGACAAGCATTGCTATGTCCCATACTTCTATATTAGTTCCAGTGCTACCTTGAGGAAACAACTTTTCTCTTTGCCTTTTCACAGTTTTATTGAAGAGTTTATTTTCGAACGGTTTTAGAAGAACGTCAATGTTTTTGCCAGACTTCTTCACTTCTATCTTCAGTGTTTCTTTTGACACCAATGTACCCCCTTGAAGCAGCAATAAGGTAACTCTTAAGAAATTTTCGTCTTCTTTCACCATGCTTGCGCTGTTTTAGAGACACGTTTTAGTCTAAAATACATGAAAGAGAGCATATTCTCACAAACTAGTTAGACAAATTGAAAAAATTACTTATAAGATGGTCATGGTGGCGCTCATCTCAGATACATTAATAGAAATAAATTTTAATTGTCGAATGTTAAAGGGACTCCACTGGTTTTTTTTTGACATGATGGGACTGGAAATATTTTTCCACATAAATGTACCATTTGATGTAGGTTTAGACCACTAATCTAAGTGCAAAATTTTAGATCATTCGCGCACTTCGTTTTTCCAACACAATTATTCAAATTGTAAGAAAAAAACCCAAAATGAAAAGCGTTTAAACGCTTTTCACTCAAATCGGACTAAGAAAGGCATAAAAATACGATTTTCAATTTATTTAAAAGTATATTTCTAAACTATATTGGCCTATTTTTCTATTTAAAGTGACCCAGCTCATTTATGTAAGAAATTCAAATGTTATGTTTTTGGGCTTTTAAACCTCAGTGGAGTCCCTTTAAAGTAAGTTATAAAGTTTGTAATTTTTTACCTTTAATGCATGATTTTATAGAATAAATCTAGATGGCCCCTATGAAACGCAACGTGCAAAACTTATAAGTTCTAGTCATTAATTCTATATAAAAATATCCAATCTCCACAATATGTTTTTCTACAGGAAAATTTAAATGTGTTTTTCCTAATTAATTAAAGGATCAATTTTGAGTTCATTAATTAATGCAATAAATTTAGATACATTGATCTTTTCTAAAGGTAGGTTTTTATATATAACTGTGGGCTTAAGTTTTTAATGTACGTTGAAACTTAAAGATCCTGTATGTTGTATTTGATCTTTTAACCACACTTAAGTGAAATTGTATATATGTATATAATTATGCTTCTAAAACAATTGTCAAACATCAAAGAATATGTAAAATATGTACTGCAAATATTTGTCACATTATATGTAATCATTAAAATATATGCATTCATTTCTTATTGAAAAAAAATTGACTTAGACTTCATAGAAAATAACTTTCTAATTACCTCCCTTTATTAACATGACATGTAAATTCGGTAATTTCTTCACTAATAATGCTTTTTTGGAACTAACAATATTGATAAATTTTCATTTGAGCATTATATCTATGATATAAAACCTTAAAAAATGAGTTACAGGATCTTTATTACATGTCGTCACGATCATAACCAGAGGTCACTAAACAAGACCAATGCTTTTGATACAGATTTTAACAATGGCAATGATTTAATCAAAATCCATGTAAGAGTCATAGACCTTGGATAAAGGACACCAAACAGAAGGAAAAGTTTTTAGTGAATACGTTCAGTAGTTCTTATGATCGATGTTGCATGCAAAACATAAGGTAAGAAAGTCAAAAAAGTGTCATTATTTCACAGTTATGTGCCTCGAAAAGTAACCCCAAATAGTCACCCAAAAGACTTTTCTTGTGCTTCAAGTGAATGCCTTCAGTAATGTTTAAGATTGATGTTACAAGCAATACATTCTGAAGAATTTGTCAAGTTCAAAAAGGACCATTATATACGTCAAATTATTCACGTTTGAGTTATGCTCATCTCCATTTAGTCCAAGTAATGAGTATAATTTTGATATAAACTTCCATTTATTTGGCAATGGTTATTGCCAGATAATCATGACTTTGTGCAAGTATGGATCAAATCCGTCAGTACATAACAAAGTTATGAAATTTTCAGCAAATAAGACAATTATTTGACCTTATATTTGAACTATTCAAAATGTCTGTTTTATTAGTAAGCTTATTTTTTCTGGGGATGAATGAAACATACAAATAAATGACAAAGTTATAGCCAGTTGTAATCACAATTCAAAGATAAACCGTTTATTGATGCAAAATAATTACAGCAAATTATAGCAAAATTCAAGAAAATACAATAAATTGGCCTATTGGTTACAAATTGTCTGACCGGGACATGACAATGACATGCGCATATCCTTTTTAGTATTGATGGTTCCAATAAAGTTTTGTTGAAAGCAGGCAATCAATTAATTAGAAATAAAGCGGAAACGAATGTTGCTCTGTTTACACACTTCATAAGTCAGTAGTTGCCAAAAACAGGATGAACAGTGCCAAACGATATCCCCATGCAGATTTCATTTACAGGGGATAACAAAACAAGTAGAGAGTTTGATGCTAAAGCATCAAATCGCCGGATAGAAAAATGATTGTATTATCATAAATATAAGAAAATATAAGTTTAATGGTTCAAGTATAAAAATAACAGGAACAATGAGTTGAGTAATGTTTGCCACTGAGGCTTGTAAGGCAAGTGCTATGCTGGTAATGTTTCTTGTAATTATACTTTATACATATACTGTTGTACTATACATTGAAATCCGTATAGGTTACTAGTTCAGATTCAGATAATTACCGACAAATAATTACCGATCATCGAATATTTGCAAAGTGACTATGAAAATATATATTTAATTATTACATGAAACAATACAATTTTACTGTAAAAGTGTTGTACATCATTATTATGTGCTATAAAAAAATATAATTTAGTTGAAATCAATACACGTATTCCAATCGTTACATACGATATATAAAATTAACGTTTAATTGCCCTTCAGTGCGATAAACTATCAACACAAAGATAGTTTATTATTTTTTTCATGTATCTAATACGATTCCGGACCCCTGACGTCATACCGTTTTGGAAACCTGCGTGACGGAAACCGACGGAATATACCGAAATCAACGATTACCATTATATATTTCAATAATGTGCCTCTTAAGCATAACATTATTTTGGGATGTTCAACCTTAAGTAAACAATTGAACTTTCTTGTCGAATGTTTGACAGAAAGGGCCAAGTTAAACCCTTTACCAAGAAGAAAGGAAAAGGTTTTGAAAATGTATTTTTAATGTAAACAGGTTTCTCTTATGATATAAAGTATGAACCTGATTAATGAAAAATAACTTATGTAATTATCTGTACAAAATTACAATGATTTACATCTTATCAGTTACCAACATTAACAAGTTACCTGTCTTATCAGCAATCTGTTACTATTAATAGATTTTATAACGATATACAACATATATAAACATGTAGTCACGTGATTCTTACGAAAGACCAGGGAGCATTTGTTTATAATTAGATAAAATAATGTAATATAAAAGGTCTCATAAAAAATAAACAACCAAATAATTCTAAAGTGTCATTTCAAATATCATTCATGATTTATTTATTATAAAATAGCAATGCTTGACACATAGAAAAAAGTAAAAGTATCTCTAATATTCAATGACTGATCCTTGGGGATACGTTATTGATTCATTTTATGAAAATTGTAATGTTGCTTTTTAAGACGTCAATATGTGCATATTTCATTCCACTGAGCAAAGTTATCATATGTTTGATTTTTTGTGATTACTGAAAAATAATTTTTGTCTTTAATTGTTCAATGATTGATATGCTTTTATTTTCAGATTTTAAGGGCTACTCCTACCATAGGTATAATATTAAACTATTACAAATATAGTCGCCGGTTTCTACCGGCGACTAATAAAAACAGTCTTACAATACTGGAAATACATTTGAACTTATTGGGAAATGGACTTCCGAGATAGAAAATCCCATATGATAACAATTGTACAGTGATTATAAACTGTTTTAGCTTCTGATACTCTGAAAGGTCAGTGTAAATATGAAAGACAAAGGTCAAGGTCGCTGGGTTTCATACGACATATTAACACCATGCCATATTTTCTCTTTTTCGACGCCAAATACATTTGAGTTTTGCATTTCATCTGTCGTATGTTTTGGTGTTAATTTATTTTTTCGGGACTTAAATAAAATGCAAGCAGATGCACTAAACATAACTGTTTTCGCTTTTCCGCTTAAATGCATTGTCGCTTGTTTGAGGTTCTAGCTAAACAAGGGCGTTCGCACATCAATGGCAACGGAGAGTGCTTACACAATATAGTAGTAACTAGAAATGTGTCATCATGCCACGGATGCCCCCGCAAGCAACCAAAGTTTCAGATGTTATAATATTTAAGGCCAAATTTGTTTGCACAAAATATTTTTTTTCATTTTAAGTTCAAAGCCCTTAAAACTATTCAATAATAACACAAACCATTTTTATACAGAGTTCAAGGCGCTGAAACTAATCAGTGTTAACCTTTTGTAAATTGCATATTATGCATATTTGTAGCCAAAATAATGGGTACATACATTTCCACAAAAGTATGAGTGCTGAAACTGAAAATTCTAAATTTTTACAACATTCAAGAAAGATAACTTTGTCCAAAATCATTGAACCACGACCAAATTCAAACTTGAACTGCTTATTCCTATGATGTATCTATCAAATATGTGTCAATTTTGATTTAAATGTGTACAACCATTGGGGAGATAATGAACGGAAACTGAAAATTTCTGATTTTTTTACAAAGTTCAAGAGGGATAACTCTGTCAGCTATCATCAAACCATGACCAAATTCGAACTTGACCAATGCATTCTTATGCCATATCTACATCTTTATTTTATTGTTGAATATGTACAACTGTTGGGAGATAATGAATGTGAAGTGAAAATTTCCTTTTTTTCAAAGTTAAAGGGGCATAACTCTGCCAAAAATCATCGAACCATGACCAAATTCGAACTTGACTTGTGCATTCCTTTGAAATATCCATATGTAAAATTGAATTGAATATGTAACACTGTTGGGGAGATAATGAACAGAAACTAAAAATTTCATATTATTTTCAAAGTGAAAGGGGCATAACTCTGCCAAAAATCATTGAACCATGACCCAATTCAAACTTGGCCTGCGCATTATTTTAACGTACCCATTTGTAAAATTTAAGTTGAATGTGTAATACTGTTTGGGAGATAATGAACGGAAACTGAAAATTTCATATTGTTTTCAAAGTGAAAGGGGCATTACTCTGCCAAAATCATCGAACCATGACCAAATTCGAACTTGAACTGTATTTTCTCATGACATATCCATTTGTCAAGTTTGAGTTGAATGTGTAATACCGTTGGGGAGATAATGAACGGAAACTGAAAATTTCATATTATTTTCAAAGTAAAAGGGGCATAACTCTGCCAGAAATCATCGAATCATAACCAAATTGGAACTTGACCTGTATTTTCTCATGACATATCCATATGCCAAATTTGAGTTGAACGTGTGCAAACGTTATTAAGATAATGAACGAAAACGGATGATGACGGAATGACAGACTGATTGAAGGACGGAAGGACGGAATGACAGAACAAGGTAATACTATATGCCCCAGCCATTATATGGCGGGGCCATAAAAATAATTGTTAATAGAATGTTTATATTATTCATATCATTGTAGTTTGAGTTATTATTCAACTTGTTTGCATAATTTGAATATTTTTTTTCCTTGCGGTGGCATCTGATTAACATTAAAGCATCAAAATGACATTTATCAACCCCCTTCCCCATCCATCTAACCTTCAAGTCAAACCTTTTCGTTGCTGTATTCTTTTGTTCAAGAAACACAAATATTCACTCATTCTCAAGCCCATTCGTTCGTCAATTTAATTCGTTTGCTTTCATTTGTTCATATGTTTTTTTCGTATCTTATTTGAAAATAATGAGTATCAAATAGTAAATATGAATAAAGAACATATAAATTTAAGCAATTTTGACACTTGTAAAAATGTCTGAATATTGAAATAATTCTTCGAATAGTTAATGTAAACTCTAAAAACTCAAGCCCCTTCTTGATATTGTCCTGCTAGTAGTTATCTATGCTTAATAAACTTACGTATACATGTATAGATGCAAAATGCTGTTTAAACTTTTTTTTGCACTGACTGAGTAAAATAATTAAATATCTTTATGGATTACTCAGTCTAAATCCGCGGTTTGTGGTGTATAACTCGCAAGCGGAAGTTAAAGCGAACACTAAAGTTTTCACTGTGAATTTGCTATTTTTGCACACATTGTTTATTTGTGCATTATCGCTTTGCCGTATGTCATTTAAGAACATTGTAGTGTTTGTGCAGACGATTGAAATACCTATTTATATTTGACTGAACATTATATTACCGTTTGTTTTTTTATATATATGCATTGCGGAATAATTTTAGTAAACAAATATTGTTTTCTTCAATTGCTCCCATGCATAATTATCAAAACGCTATCATTGTCATTATCCAAAATGTCAATTTTAACAAAATAGGTAATTATGCGTTGGACTTAACATCTAGACAAAGAAAATATCGCTCAATAATAAGACCAAGACAAAAGATTTAGATTATTGGAAAGATAGATTTAAAGATCTTTTGAATGGTCCCTCTGCTGATCGATCTAGTGTTTATTGTCAAAGAGACGTTCAGATAGATCATAACAGTTATATCCCACAGCTAGACAATACTATTTCAGTAAATGAAGTAAAAATAGCCATAGATAAAGCCGACTTCCGTAAACTTGTGGCGTTGATAACATACCATATTGAGCTTTTAAAAATGATACTGCAGTTTTCTTTTTGCATGTATTTTTCAATGTATGTTTAAAAACTGGTCAAATACCTAAAGACTGGGGAAAAGGCATTATTAATCCCATTCCAAAATCTAATACAACAGATCCTTTGAATCCGTTAAATTACAGGGGTATAACTCTAGCACCTACATTGTACAAGCTCTATTGCTCAGTAATTAACGAACGGTTATCATCATGGTTAGAGGATAACTCCAAACTAGTAGATGAGCAAAATGGCTTTAGTAAGAAGCGTAATACTGGGGACCATCAATTAAGTATCACATCTATAATAGAAACTAGGTTAAAAAAGAAACGCTTTTTTACTGCGTTTATAGATTTTTAAAAGGCGCGAGGGATGTTGCACTTATTCATTATCCCTCATGTACAGACTCAATCAAACCGAGTTTGCAATTATCTTGTGATTTTGTTGTGATTAATGCTCCCGAGGGATCACTTTGTTTCCAGATTTTTATGACACAGTTGACCGTTCAATATTATGGGAACATTTATTGAAGATGGGATTGAATTGAAAACTGTTGAATGATATCAAGTCTCTATATTCTTGTGTAAGTTCATGTATAAGACTGAATGGTTAGGCAGGTAGAACTTGTAAGAACTGGTATTTAAGATTAAAAGAATTTTTTGAGAAATATAACTTTGGTGAATTTTTAGTTCTTAATAATGTTTTAAATATAAAATGTTTGGTGGAAAAGCTAACCAGTTCATATCTGAATGAGTATTTGGATGAATGGATTGAGTCACTACATACACTAAAATAGTAGTTCTGGGCAAGGGGAAAATAAATTGAGGACTTACAGAACCTTTAAGTTTAGTTATGAAACAGAAACATATGTAACTGCTATCCTGGCGAATAAGCATAGAGGAGCAGCATTTGCAAAGTTTCTATGTGGGGTAGCCCCTATTAGACTGGAAACTGGCAGATATGAAAGGTTAGCTTTAAACCAAAGAATTTGTCCAATCTGTAAAACTGGCATTGCAGATGAGAAACATGTTATTTTCTATTGTCCAAGGTATGAGGATATAAAGAAAGATTTATTTGCCAAAAGCAGAACATGTAAATGAGCAAATTCATTCATTTTTCCAATACTGAAATTATAAAGTGTGCTGCAAAATCCTGTTTCAATATTCTTAAAAGTAGAACTAACTGGTTGTACGCCTTAGAACTGTCTCTTATAAGGTTACTTTTAAATTATTAAACATTTTATCCAACAAAGCGAGGGTCTTACATTATACTATTGAGAAATTGTACTAATCAGTGTATTTAAAAGCCTGATTTTAAGGTTGATAATTTTTTGATACTTTTAATCATTAGACAGGGATATTTTTACAAAACTCTCGAGGTCTCTTGGAAGGCTAAATACACTCATAGTTAATGATTAGTAACTGATTCATTAATCTTCTTTTATTTCATTTTTAGGCAAAGACGTTATATGTACAATCACTTCAATTTGAATAATGTTTTATTTTTATAGGTTTTATCTTTCCAATGATGCGAAATAATTTTATCCAGATTATAGAACCTATTGCTATTCAGTCTTATTTTTATGGTTTTATGGAAGAGAACATTACTAGGGTTTTCACTGTAAAGCACTTATACAAGAAATTCTTTAAATATTTTAGAAGAAGATTAGCAATAGTTTCTTATTTTAGCAATATTAAGTTGAAATATTCATGAATATGGAATGAGAAGAGAGGTAACTCTGTAAGATATATTGGAAATTCTTGCAGAGTTGACTCCCTTCCATTAGATTATTGCTCCATTTGTATTTACTATTTTTTACTATGGGCCCGATTTTCAGTTAATCCCTTCGATTTACAGCTAAAAATAAATTCGGAATCATAAACTCCTTCCGATTTCTTTGATGTTAAGTCATACATGTATATTGGTTTCCCCTTCGGTGATTCGCAGATGTCATATTAATTTAATTTTTTTTTAAATTTGACATTAAAATATGCATGTAATATTACTATATTAGTCTCTTTTGAAAATGATGATGCAAAAAATGATTCACACAAACATTCGGAATAATGTACAATAGTACTTCATCTGAATGCGTAGGAATGATTTGGTAAGGTATCTGTAATGAGCGCATTTTTATGCGCGGAGCTTCTCAATTGGTGCATTGCAACATTTGTACTTGTTTTTATTTGTTTGGGTCGTCAGACCAAACAAATAATGGTAGCGAAATTTCAGACTCTGATGCTGTTAATTGCAAATGCCGAAATTAGTCCGCTTTTTTGAAGCGGTTACTTCCCTTTATATGTACACTAACGCCGAAAAATTCAGGGGAGATCACTGCGTAAAGATGGTCAAATGACAGGCGCATAAATTTTCAATCAAAATAATTCCCGAATGGTCGAAGATTTCTCATATTGTTTTATTCTTTTTAGATATACATGCTTATAGTAAGCTCCATGGCTATTTACATCTGTGTTTAACAACAGTTAGCGTCGTTACAAACCCTAATTTAGAATAATATGGTTTTCAAATCTGATTTCGTGCACACGTTAAAAGGTAAATGATAACTATAGAAAATAAAATGTTGATTGCTATGAAAGTCATCGGTTGCTATTGAAAATAAATTGTTGATGAGGAAGTCACTGGTTGTAAAGGCAAACAAATGGTTGCCATTGGATTCACTTGTTGCTATAGAAAGTCAATTGTTTCTATGGAAGTTACTGGTTGCATTGGTAAGTCATTGGTTGCTCTGAGGATCAATGGTAGCTAAGAAAATAAATGGTTTTGGAAGTCACTGGTTACTGTGGCGAGTCAAGGGTTGCTTTGGAGTTCATATATTTCAGGTGAATATCTTATATTTCTCCCGATATGCTTTCTAAAATTTACGTCATATATATTTTCATCAGAACATTGCAGCACAGAAAAAATTATCCGCCATCTTGGATATGTGCCTTACAACGTTATACACACTAAAATGATAGATAAAAGAACTGGAATTTGAAATAAACTTACCTTCTAATATATACAATGCATTTCCATCTCTTTTGTCTCTATCTCTAGTCGTTCGTACATAAGTACATAATTCCTTATCAACCGCTAACAATGCTTTACATATACCCCGTCTCCATTTAGTTTACATAAATATTTTATAATCGATATCTATTTTTACAAGGGATCGAATTACTTTCATACCATCTTCAAACATATCATTGTTTTAATCATTTTAACTGCGTCATTTGTTTTGTATGCAGGCAATGTGAAACATAAAATATAAAAGGTACTATTGTCACGGTCTAGGCACGTGACGTCTTCAATCAATATATATAGAGGATATTCAAGTTGGTTTTTTTTCTATAAATATGGTATTTATTTTCATCAAGTGGTATGAAATTAAATTTTTAATGAATGAGGTTGGACGCGTGAAGCATACAACAGGATGAAAATAAATCCTGAATTTTTAGTGAAAACCCGATTTTCTATTTATTATATATACAGTTTTTCCTTTTTTGCACTATAATTAGAAACACTTCCACTTATATTTTGTGCATATGGTGAATTAAGAAGAAAGTAGTCCGGCAAAACATCAGTGAACATACTGAAAATATGCTTCATTGGAGTGAGAAATAAATTTGTACAGTGAAAATATGGAAAATGAAAATACGCATATTTCATCAATATTTTATTAATACAATAAATTGCGCTATAATGCTATGCCTAATAATAACACAACACAATGGAGGAAGTCTTAGTTAAGCTAACCTTTAATAAATCAACGAGTTAAACATCTAATGGTCAACAGTTAAACATGAAATATTACTTAGACATCAAAATAATTGTATGGTCTATACAGCTCACACACAAAAAAAATGTTTATCTTTATTTCTTTCAATAATTGTAAAAATTAACTTGTAGCTTTGCATCATAAATATTGCTTATAATCTGTATAAACAATTCTTCAAATGTTGCTTTAAACATGTAATTGATTTAAGCCATGTACTGCTTTATTAATCGACAACTTTCCTAACTAACACCGTAAACAACTTTATAAAGGTGCAAACAGCTTTCCATAGTTAAGAAAACGCCTACCAGTGAACCCTGACAAAAAAGTAGCAGAAATGTTTATCACTGTCAATTTTAAATATGTTAATGTACTTTCGATGAAAAAAAAAAAACAGCATATCAAAACAAAAATTAAATAGATATTCCCACGTAGAAAAAATATCCCGTTTATTTTTTGTGTAAATGAAACCCCACCAACAGTATAAGACAACCACCCATAATCGGGATTTGTTATAGGAAAATGGCCATGAACCAATATTGAGCTCCACACGCCAATCAATGCATGGGAACCCGGAAAGTGAAACAGGGCCAGAAAAAACTAAATTAAAACAGTAACGTAATACACCTGGAATTTTTAAATGGGATGACGGTGTCCTGTCTGGGCCAGTTAAAAGACACCTGATAACATGCAAGATTTTACTTCTCGAATAAAACTTGTGACGCTATTTAACATTGAATTTGTGCTTAACTTAATCCTCGTGTGAATCAAAATGTAAAAAACTTCGCGATGATTCATCAACCTTAACGTTTTACGAAAACCATAGCTTGTTTACAGAACAATTGCCTATGGTAAAGTTCTTCGAAAGAGAATATATCTCCCTACTTATTTATTAGTGTGCTCGACTATTCTCAGTGCTTGTTAGTAAAACAAGTGCCTGAATAATGTATTTAAGTTTAAAAATGGCCATAGTTATGTCAAAATCCCTATTAGTGTGAAGAACTTTGGATAGTGACCTCCAAATAAGTGTGTTAAGTGTCATCCCATTCCCTTCAGCAGTTTTGGGGATTTCCAACTTGCACCTAAATACGTTGCCAAAATGTGACGCCAACGCCGATACCTGTGTGAATACAATAGCTCTCCCTATCCTTCAAATAGCCGAGCTAAAAACGAGGTTTAGTTAATCTTTAATCATAGCAGGCGATAATTCAAATGTCTCCAACAGAACTCCATAGACAAAAACGGAAAGTTGTAGCAACAGGTCCCTCCACCAAAATAAGTCAACGGCCATTGTGTGCAAAATGTGAATAATTTCAAATTATCCGCGTTACAACGTATATAGGATAATTGTTGTTTTGTCCTTACCGTGATAATAAACCTGGATTGGTCAGTTTTTTTGCTTGACTGCGTCGGAGTATATATAGTCACAGGGCGTGACTAGTATTCATATCTCACAGAGAACAGCCATTCTCTTTTCAAAGTCAAATGTTTACCATGTCGAGGGAAATGAGTGAAAGTTTTGTAGAGGAGGTCACAGATTTGTTGGCTCAGCATAAGCAGCAAATGCTGAAGGAGATGGAGGGCATGTTTCTTAAAATAACAGCCACTTCTCAGTGTAAGCTTTCCAGTCAAATTGCCTCTTCTTCGCTGACAACAGTCAAGTTTCGACGTAAAAGCAACGAAGAGCAATTCAAGGTCAATGCGGACGTTTTGAGCAAGCTTGAGGACGCTGAAGGCTCGCTGTCAGTTGAAAACATGGAAGAAACTAGGCAGAGTATCATTAGCGGTACATTATGCTATTGTACAATTTATATGTTTATCAGCTGTTTTTTCTATTGTTATCACAAAATTGTAGACGTCTTTTCATGTTACGCACGTGGAATGTGTGTCAACTGTCTGTGTACTGCCCGGTTTGTTATGACTGTGCTGGTTTTGTTAGCCACACCTTGAAAGTAATAATGTAAATATCCAGTTTATTGGGTTTTTTTAAAACGTACAAATGAGTGATATCATATCGAAATACATGTATATTGATATAATATAGTATACGGGTGATAAGTATTGAGTTAATAAGTAAAATAGTTTATATTGTTTTTCACGCTTGTTTGGCATATTTTCAGCAAAATCGTTGCTTCAGCATCGCAAGAAGATAAATTTAGTTGGCCGATGCATCGGATTTAGGATGGAAGGTCGTATCAAAATACGAAACCAACCTGCTTGCTAGTGATAGTGACGATGAAAAGAGGGTGACGATGAAAAGAGGATGTATAAGGCAGAAGCCCGTGCTTACAGGAAGGCGAGAGCAGACAGGGCCAAGAAAGTCAGGGGATTAGATAAAGATTCAATTCTTATCGTAAGAGGGCATCGTCACCACAGGTCCGAAGAATTTGCGGTTTCGATCCTGTTCAATCTACAGGCACAAGAGGTATTCCTCCAGGACTTTGTTTTGCCTAAACTGGAAGGGTGCACCGGAATGCGCAGCAAATATATCATATATTAAGATAAGTACCTATAAAATTATGTTAATAGTGCTATAAGTTATGTTAGTTCTGCAGACACGGAGTCTGATACAGGTGAGTCAATCCTAAATATGAATATAAAAATTTAAGGGTACTTTGAAAACTGAAGGGCTGAGGTCTGTAAAATTAGTGATAAGGTAGAGATGAGAGTTTCAAATTATCCGCGTTACAACGTATAGCGGATAATTGTTGTCTTGTCCTTACCGTGTTAATAAAACTGGATTGGTCAGTTTTTTTTGCTTGACTGCGTCGGAGTGACTAATATTCAGTTTCTATCGAGTATCTCACAGAGAACAGCCTTTACCCTTTTCAAATTCAAATTCAGCCTTTCGAGATATTGATGACTTTGTAGTAGCATCATGAATATGGTTCTTAAAGCATTATTTGTTGATTTTCGTCAGATTTTTAATGTCATGGCTATACAGAGCAGACGTGATATTAACCCAGGGGTTGATGAAGGCGACTTTATGACCGGACAGAGCATTGGTCCTCCTACCGTCCCTGCTGGTTCGTTGTATTTTTATATAACATGTAATTCTTCCAGACGGGTTGCGCAGCCCGCTCGCGGTTAACCTGGTTTGTCTGCATAGTGTGATTGTCTGGCATATGTTTTTCATTATTGTAACTGTGGAAATTATTGTCAAAGTGATATGATTTAGTTTAATTAAACTCGCACGTTTGTTAAATATAATGGAGCAGTTATAAGTATTTGTTTATATATCATTAAATTATTTATACATGTTTATGTTTGTATCATGCATATAATTGGCTTATGTCAGCCTTTTTCATGCTGTTTCTCTCAATAATCAATTCTCGAAATGCACAACTGTGTTGTTGTTTTTTTATAACACGGTGCATATCCATATCGGTACCCTCTTTGCGAAATCTGCTCAAACGGTACCCTCTCTGAACATGCACAGGTCATTCTCTGCTAAAAACAAACCAACGATGGATAACAATACAGTAAAATTTCATTGTAATAAGGAAAGGAGGTATGACACGTAGAAAAGATGTATACCACGGAACACTAGAATGTTTTATTTATGTGCTGATTTGTCATGTGCCCGATTTTCATGTACTGCAACTTCACAATAAGCTACAAAAAATCGACATGTCTTGCTTCGCCCATCAACTCGACATATTTTTTCGGGCTGAAATGAACCTGTGGCTTGATTATATATGCATCATACATATTTAATATGTTCATGAACATATCATCTTCGGACAAATGGCAGTATATTGTCAAAAATAAATGTAAAATTCATAAAAACACCCTACTTTCGGTTTTGCAGCGGCACGGGCTACCTCTCTTCATTTGAATTTTTATATCACAGGTACCCTCTCATTATTGAACACATAGGTACCCTCAAAGCACGACATATGCTTTTATTTGCGTTAATCGTTAAGTGTGTATGTCATACTTTTTACTTTTATGTAAACATTACATACTTAACGATTAACGCAAATAAAAGCATATGTCGTGCTTTGAGGGTACCTGTGTGTTAAAAAATGAGAGGGTACCTGTGATATAAAAAATCAAATGAAGAGAGGTAGCCCGTGCCGCTGCAAAACCGAAAGTAGGGTGTTGTTATGAATTTTACATTTATTTTTGACAATATACTACCATTTGTCCGAAGATGATATGTATATGAACATATTAAATATGTATGATGCATATATAATCAAGCCACAGGTTCATTTCAGCCCGAAAAATATGTCGAGGTGATGGGCGAAGCAAGACATGTCGATTTTTTGTAGCTTTTGTGAAGTTGCAGTACATGAAAATCGGGCACATGACAAATCAGCATATAAATAAAACA